CTTGGGAAGACTCGACCGGGATGTTTAGGGAGAAAATGTGACTACTACCTAAAGCAGACTGATTATGCAAGTTCAATCACCGTACGGAGAACTCTGTACCGATATCTATAACATAACTTGATAACGTCTTGTATATAACTTGAAGCTACAGGCTACAAACATACAAGACACATGCTCGGTACTCTGTACTCCGTACAGCATACAATATTGCACATAAATTAGGTACTTGCTAGCAGATCCACTGATATTTCTTTTCAAATTAAATTCTTCTATAGTGGACATGATTTTCTGTGCAGCGATGGGCACCTCCTGGGATCAGACATGACGCTAATGCAGGAACTGGGATTTTTTGCGTTTGCGTTTTTTTGGTTTGTGGAATTCACGGGATACCAGATGGGGGTCCTCAAGCCCTGAAAGAGACAATACATGGGTGTATCACGTTGTATATACGTAAATTACCGCGGGAGGGCATCCGACCCAAACTCGGCTCTCCGCACTTGAACCCTGGCTCACCTTTGTTTACTCCGAAGCTTACTATACGGCCTCGGGACGTACGTCTAGGTATCTCTAGTGCTGTAGCAGGTATGAGCAAATATGGACCAGCATTTTCCCACGAATATTCATGAAAGATCCGAATCGATCGGATAGGGCTTCATGAAGCCTCGTATACAATTATTTTTTTTCAGTCACACGTCCAGGTTGGAATGGGTTCACGAGGGGAGTCTAGACAGGATCGGAATTATGTTCTGGGCCAACTCTATTCTGGAAAGAAAACAAATTAATAAAGCCAATGATAAAGGATACCTCGTAAAGAATAAGAATAAAATAAAGAATATTCAAATCAAATCAAAATGTGACTCTGATGCAAGAGTCAGGCCGCCACCCCCTACCGAGCGGGCGGTAGCGCGACTCCACGGGCTAAAAAAGGATGAAATACGGTGGGGGGTAATTCAGCCTTCAGTTTTTGTGGGTTCTTCGCATCATTGGATTGTTAGGGGAGAAGTAGACGATCCCAGATCTGAATTGCTTTTCCCATTGCAATTCTTTTCCATGATTATTCATATATGTATTTTAATATTTTAATATAATTCTTTTTATTTATATACTCGATCGAAGTACAGGTACCCACAATCCGGGTACTCATAGTACATAAGTCTCATGTACCCAGTACAGGCACAGACCTTTGCAAGATTCAAGTTGTTTCATCTGATTACCACCCGTTACTGAACAATACCCGTCCACCACCCAATCATACCACACTGTTCGGCAGCTCTGTACCGTGTTTTACCAGCCGTCACCCCCGATCTTCCCCCCAGCGCCTCCAAACTCCATCTTTCTTTCTCTTCATCCTTTTCCTTCCCACACAGTCTTTCCTTTACGTTCCTTGGGCTCTTTCTTTGCTTTTTATGGTTTCTTTTTCCATGCACACTCTTTTGGGTCCCTAACTCCCGAGTCTCTCCTTAACATCGACTATTATCACAAGCTACCACTGCTCATTTCTTTTTCTTGAATCACGGACTGCCCGTACTGCCACTCTTTACATTTACAATCAAGGTCCCTGTCTCCATCGCCATAGGTTGACCAAACCGAATCTACTTCATGATATAGACCTTATTCCTCGAAGCTGCCACTTTCTTGTGCAGCATCTCCTTCCCCGTCTCTCTCTCTCTCTCTCTCTCTCTCTCTCTCTCTCTCTACCTCTCTCGCGCTTTTCCAACGACTTCCTCTCTCCTATACCTACCTACCTACTTTCTTCTTCAGATCGCCATGAGTTATATCCACCCCTCATGGAACTACCAGGGTCACCAGGGCATCCCAATGGACCAACATATGGCATATGACCCGTCCATGGTCCCTCCTCCGATGATGCACCCCATTGATGGTTATATGTACCCTCACCCACCAATGGAGATGATCGACTACTACCACCAACCGATTATGGACTACGATGAATACACAGAAAATCTGTCGCGGCCACGGTTGACCAAGGAACAAGTTGAAACCCTGGAGGCTCAATTCCAGGCTCATCCGAAACCAAGCAGCAACGTTAAGCGTCAATTGGCGGCTCAGACAAATTTGAGTCTGCCTCGCGTTGCAGTACGTAAAAACGGAGGGAACCTTTTTGTCTACCCAGAGAGCTAATCGAGTGAACAGAATTGGTTTCAGAATCGTCGCGCAAAGGCCAAGCAACAGAAACGCCAGGAGGAATTTGAAAAGATGACGAAGGCCAAGGCCGAGGCTGAGGAAGCTGCTCGCCGGAAATCAGAGACCTTGGACCAACTGTCCGGATCTCGAAAAGGATCAATCGCCAAGGAGGAATCAGAGAAATCCGCTACTCCTAAGCAAACATCTGCCTCCACATCCAGTGGCCATGCCAAGACAGATTCCACATCCAGCCGTTCCAAGCACCATAAAACGAAAAGTGAGTCAGCAAGAGAAGCAACTTTTGCATCTCTGCAAAGGGCGCTGAATGCTGCTTGTGCTGCCCGGGATCGATTCGGACGCCGGATCAACCCCCGAAGCAAGAACGAGTCTGTTCCCGAAGAGGAAGAAGACGAAGAAGAAGAGGCAGTGTCCCCTACCTCAATGCCACCACCAAAAACGGCGACTCCAGCCAGTGATCATGGGAATCTTGCCAGCATAAACCCTTCCTTTTCAGGTTGGTCTGGTATGAAGGACGAACCAGCTTGGGGATCCGGCGAGCACAATGAGCATGTGGGATACAACACTACAGAGCAGACCTCTTATTCCACTTGTCACCAGTCAATGGCAGAGATGTCAAATCCTTCCCACTCTATGCAACAGAACATGGACGTCTACTCCAACCACCTGCCCCCTCACAGGGAAGAGTGGTCTGAGGACAGGGAATCACGACACGACAACCTTGTCTACAGCAACATGCAATATCCGATGCGCATGCAGGCACCAAATATCTCGGTCACACGTCGTGAGTCTTCTGATGCACTGACTGCCTCGTTGGAGGGCATCGGAATCTGTACTACCGGCCAATCTGGGCTCTCTCAGCCTGTCGATCGAGTCGAAGCAACTTGGAAGGAACCTGGCAAGGAGCTTGATCTCGCCGCACGCCGCAAGCGCCCTCGCCCCGCTGCCATTGGCACCTCGGGAACTCGTCCTTTGGCTAACTCGACCTCGATGTCCTCGCTCTCACCTACCGCTCGTATGCCTAACTCCGGTGCCGGCAACTCGATGAGACAATCCAAGTCAACTCAGAGCCTCAACTCCCGGTATGCCGGTGTGAGGAAGGCCTCGGCTGCCCAGCGGTCTCCTCTCAATTTCACTTTTGCGGATTCCGGGTCTATCAAGAAGGCCGAGAAGATGCTACGACCCTCGATCTCGACCAATAGCCTAGCTCCACCAACTCCCTTGACTCCGCAAGACCTCCAGCATTTCATGCCTGCCTCCCCCACGGAAAGCAACTACTGCTTGTCGGCCCACTCCACAGCCCACTTCTTCCCTACCTCTCAACCCATGCAGGTCAACATGGCATCACCTCCCGCTACGCCACTGGATATTTACTCTCCCTTCCCTTACCAAAACGTGGCCCCGCCGATGTCGGCTCCGGCTCAGGTCTCTTCCTTCCCCGAATATATCACATGTGACTCGGTTCCCATGCCAGCACGCAGCTGGGCCGACACTGCTTCCCTCTCTTCACCTGAGTACCCTGCTGGTCTCCAGGTGCCGCATTCAACAACCGTCTCGCCCATGGGCTATAACGCGACCACCGACCACACCGGACAGGCCTTTGGCATGGAATCGGTCTCTGGTTCCCCATCCTTGATCTATTCGATCGAAGATACCGACATGCCAGGCTCTGCCGAGCTCGCGGAGAGGAAGCGGACTGAATTTATGATGCACGAATTCCCAGAGCATGATACCCACTTTGGTGGCCATCACTTGCCATCGATGCAGAAACCGAAAGCCTACACGTTCGCGAACAACACGACGCCAAGTAACTACCCTTCCTAGGGGAAGGTCCCCTGGCCTTTCCCTTACTATGGATGTATGAGAAATGCGCGACAACTTTTGGTGTTTTTTGGTCCGGGACGAGTTTACTACGCAAAATTTTCGCCTTCACCTTCGTTTTCCTACACTTTCCCTCATAGGGGAGATGTCGTCTATCCAACCCTCCGTGCGCGGAGAAGCACTGTCACTTTATGTCGTCTATATACTATCTTTTTTTCGTGTCTCTTTATTCTTGGTGTATTCACCGGGTTTTTACATATTTGGAGCATTCCTTGCATGTTGTTTATTGGCCTGGGATTGTTTTTGTTATTTTTGGTGTCTAATAGGACCTTTTAATTTCTGCCGAGCTCCCTCACGGGAACCTCGAGACCTTTTTTACCTTCTACCTTTGATTTCTTGTCTTTCTCTTTGTCTTTGACCTCTTTTTTTTATTCCCGTTGGAATCGGGTTTTGTGGATGGGATTTGAACTTGGGTTTGCATATGGCTTTGGCAGCATTTGGCTTATTTGACATTTTCCACGATACATACATTTATTACGTATCTATACTATCTCATATCTCTCAATCAAAAAAGGGGGTGATCTCTTAAATTTTTAACATTTACCCGAATTACAACCTAAACCTCCGAGAACGAAATTATGATCAACCAGCACACGGTTAGGGCCCGGCTATTAGTTCAAGCCGTTTATGCCTTCCCCTTTCGAGCTCGCTTGTGCGAGTCCTTCGGAGATATATTCCAAAGGCATCTATGTACTCCGTACTCCGTACGTCGTACAATAGTGGATTCAGCACGTGCGCCAAACCATAGGTTGTCATGTCCGGAACCTTGGAACGCGGAATAGCGCCCATGGAACTCACGGTAAACTTAACTACCACGTGCGCTACAGTCTTCCAAGGTTTTTACTTGAGTATAAAGGAACATATTTGTCGATCTCATCTTAAGATAGAGGGGGAAAAAACAAAACAAAATTGTTTATTGAAACATTGGAATTGTAACCCGCGTATCTCCGTCTTCAATGAGACTCTCCACTCTCGGTTCAGCCCTTGTGGGCCTAGCTGTCGCCCAGGCATCGACTATCAATTACTCCGCAGTCACAGGCTACTTTCTACAAGATGAGGATTCGACTGATCCCTCTACATTTGACTATGTAAGTGAAGCGCAAATTCCGGCCAATTAAGAATATTTATATTTCAAAAACTATCTCTTTATCGATGTCTAAACTTGTCATTAATTCGGTCCACTAACCTGTTCAGACAGCGGAGAACTTCGGCCTGATCGACCGCGCATATCCCGCCGACAAGGAGCACAAGAAACACAAGTCCCTAACGCAATGGGAGCGCTTCTACCACCAGGTCACCAAGTTGAATGAGGATTCCCCCAAGGACATCGAGTACAAGGTTCTGTTTCTTGGTCGACACGGGGAGGGGTGGCACAATGCCGCCGAAACGTATTATGGAACACCAGCGTGGAACGTAAGTCCCTGCCCACCACTATAACGTAACGCCAGCGCCAATCTAACTATCTCCATTCAGTGCTACTGGTCCGAACTCAGCGGCAACAGCACAGCAAGCTGGGCAGACGCCACCCTCACACCCGGCGGTGTCACCCAAGCGCTCAAAGCAAACGAGTTCTGGCAAAAGGAGATAAACGAACAACGAATCCACACACCAGACCACTACTACGTCAGCCCACTGACACGCACTCTGCAAACCGTCAACCTGACTTTCACGGGCCTGGACATGCCCAAACACAGCGCACCCTTCAAGCCGACCATCAAGGAACTCTTCCGCGAAGGAATCAGCATCCACACCTGCGACCACCGCCGTACTCGCAGCTACATCCACGACCTATTCCCGCACTGGCCCATTGAGCATGGGTTCACCGAGGAGGATGAGCTGTGGAATGGCGTGACGGCTGAGTCTAGTGGGGCGCAGGATGTTCGCAGTGCCCAGGCTTTAGGGCAAGTTTTCTCTGCTTCCTCCAAGAAGAAGTCGTTTGTGTCGATTACCTCGCATTCGGGTGAAATCTCGTCTATTCTGAGGGTTATTGGACACCGGACCTTTAAGTTGAGTACCGGCGCGGTTATTCCGGTGTTGGTCAGGGCTGAGAAGGTTCCGGGTACGGCGCCCGTCACCTCTACTGTGCCTTGGGAGGTGAGCCCGCATTGTACAGAGCCGCCGGTTACGTCAGTTTCGGCTTGTGTTTGTCCTTCCAGTGCGGTGCCTGTTACGACGCCTTTGGCTACGGGGTTTTAGGGTGATTTGTAGGCTGAGTTGAGTGGATTGATGGTTTTGTTTGTACGGTAGACCCAGCGTACACACAAATCAAGCATTTTATGATGACATTTGACATTACCAAAACATGTACAATATAAGAATAACCGGCCGCTTATGCGGCCTCTGTCTTTCCAAGGTTGATGGCCTAGGTCAGTTATATGATCCATTTAGTGGTATAAAAGACGTTATATTCAAGATTCTTCTAATATGTCTTTGGATGATCTACTTTTTTTTATCTTTTAAGATGCCTTTATATCTCTTTAATGTCTTTTTGGATCTCTCATTGGATTTGTTTTAGGAAGTCCTTCTCCCGCTCCCTCTACTCCTCCCCCTCCTCCTATTGGTATTTACCCGCTTGTGCGGTAAGAAAGAACAAAAGTGTAAAATGTCATACATAACATGAGTGAGGTCAAGTGAAAAATCTAAAAACAAAAAGAATCGTCCCCGGGAAGGCTTGAACTTCCAACCTCCCGATTAACAGTCGGACGCGCTAACCAATTGCGCCACGGAGACTTGATTGTGGCAAAGGTCAGTGGGGATGGCTTCATTAGTGGAGACGAACTCAATGGCTTTGTGTTGACCCGAGAGTATGAACAGATCAGAGTCAGTGCTGTAAATGGGAAGAGGCGTGAGACAGAACTGAGATATAACTGCACTTGTGGAATTGCATGTACTACAAATGCAAAGATTGTGAAATAAGTGTGAACAAAAATCTTGGAACTTGAGGCTCCGGATGCGATGTTTCCAAGGTTCCAAGGTTCTTTCTCCACACCTGGGCACTTCGCTCTGATTGGTCATTACTCTCCGTGCTTCTCTGTGATTGGTCCATTGGAGTATATAGTGTGTCTAGGTAGATCGCGCGGAAGTCGCTGCATATCATGCTAGTATTGTCCTTCCCATATTATTGTGACGTGGATCTACTTCCTTACTACACCTTCCCCAATCCCACTCTTTTTTCACCGGATTTCATTGGCCGAAATGATGGCATCCATCAGGTCACAAGGCAGATGCAATCAGCACTCTGCTTGCCTCAGGCTCAAGCTACCATCACAACCTTGGAACTTGTGTTCATAAACAAACCATCATTCTTTTGTTTACCCCCGGCGAAGCATCTCTTGTGTACTCTTGGTGACCTCCTGGTACGTGTTGCGTTGTTCCTGAATCTTTACAGATTCAATTACAGCAATGGATCCATCGCAGACCCAAAGCCCGCCCTCGTCGCGGCTGTCTGCGATGGTCTTGAACAGCTCGCCCTCAGACCTGCTGGCTGCGATGGCATTGAACAACTCGCCCGCTCAACAGGCTCCATGCGATGCTCCTACTGAGGCTCCCTCTGCCCGCACCTCTTTGTTTGGTGGCACCTCCCCTCCCGGGACTCCTCGCACTCCCCGCTTGGCTGAAAGTCCTTCCCCCAGCCCGAGCCCTCCCAATACGCCCTCCCCGCTCGACAGGCGCCTATCTGGCAACCCGAATCTTTCTCCCTCGCGCACTCCTCATGATGATGCGCAGTCTGATGAAACCTCTGGCGATTTTCCGTACTTGGCACGAGGGCCATCGCTCCCTTATGAAGCCTGGGAAACAGTAAGTACTACACTGGGTCAAATCAATGGAGCTTAAACATATTCAGTCAGCTAACTTGATCTCAGATCTTTTATGCCACGCTTACTAGTTTCTCCTACGAGGAATATGACTTCATTTATGGAGATGTCTTCGAGCACCCGGCTACCAAAAAGACCCTTTCGACTCTGAGACTGGTGAACCGAATCTGGAACCGGATTGCGACTCCTCTCCTTTTTCGATATATCCAGGCCGTCGTTGGATACTCTGCTGGTCGACCTCTCGATAGCATCCTGAAGATATCCGAAAGCCCACACGCCCTTTACGTCCGCGACGTCCGCTTTGGTTTCGTGGGAGCATGGCTGCCCGGACTGGATTATGATCGGTACATCGACGACTTGGCAGCAGGAGCTCTTCCGATTCTCATCAGTCGTTTCAAGAACATTCAAACATTGCGGCTGCAAACACCCACCGTGGTGGACACATTCAGTGAAGAAGGACAACTCAAGCCGACGATGCTTGCCAAGCTGACAAATGCTCTTGTCCATACTCTACGCTTTGTGCCTGTCCCGAGACTGAGGTGCCTCCATATGTCTATGCCAACCACGGCTGAATTTGCCCGTTTCTTTGAGTCGAACAGTTACGCCAGCAACTTCACCAACGTTTTCGCCCAAATTGAAGAACTACACATCACCATTAATGACAGCACTGGCCCTGATGGCAGACGAGACCCGAAATGGCCCCGCTCTGTGATCAAGACCAAGTATCCACTCGATCGATTTGCTCCGTATCTCCTCCAGCTCATCTCTCACGCAAAACGGATCCAAGTCTTCAGCCTGGATGCCCGTACCTGGTTTGACGTGTCTGATCTGGAAGCAGAAAGTCTCACTAATCTGAAGAGCTTCCGACTCGAAGGAGTGAGAATCAACGACGAAACTCTCAGGCAGATTTTCATACAAGCTCGGAAAACGCTGCTTCGCATTGAATTGGTCCACGTTCGGCTCATGTCTGGTACCTGGGAGGCCGTTTTTGGTCATCAAGCACTTCCTCCCTGGAACCTCATGTGGCTTCGTGTTGATGGATGTGGCTACTCGATGACGGGCACCAGTTCTCAGTACGTCGGTTATTCATTCTCGCACTACCCAACAGCACTCTGGACTCTCCATGGTCGGGACTGGTTGGCTCTTACGCACTGGAGATCGGTGGTGAATGCAAACCGTTATCGCAAAGGACTGCCTAGATGTCCCCATTGCTTTTTCCCGTCAATTAACCCGATCCATAATCCCTAATTAGAGGGATACATTGTAAGCAAGATTTACATAACAAAGAGGTCACGGGGGGCGATATTATGATTTGTGACTGCTGTTCTTGATTTCTGGGCTTACTGCTGGGGATGATCTTTCTTGGGATTTTCCCTTGAGGGTATCTACCTAGGTATCTGGTAACTACCTACTCTGCTTTCTTCTTTACCTGGTCGTCTCGATCTCCGGGTATTGTTGTATGTAATGATTTTTTCTTGATTCTACGTCTGGTCGTCTTGGTCTCCAGACATCCATGTACTTTCTTTTTCTTTTTCTGCCTTTTTCCCTTCCCTTTTCTCTCGGATGATTCCTTTCCTAGGTTGGTTGATGGGCTTGCGGTATCATAGTATCGTGGCTCAGCGTAGGGCTATGTAAAACTGCGGGTATTAGAATCTAGTTAGTCACTGGATTATACAGTTAGTGAATAGTTGGTTAATTAGTTGGTTATCTGCACCCGTATGCCTACATAGGTAGTGAGTTATGCCCTGCGGACTTAAACCAAGGCTCTCGAGAGAGCATGGACTCATAAAGTTTCACACTCGTAAGGTGGATCTCTCCCATTTCAATCCCTAATTTATAGTCTAATAGTTTCCTATCCTTTCTTTGTTTTTATCCTTCCCTCTTATAGTTACGAAGCGATATTTGCAACACTTCAATTCCGAGTCCAACCTCAATATTCTAGTTTTGGTTAATATTTCATAAATGTCAGCCGACATACATCAAATAAGTCTCCGTGGCGCAATTGGTTAGCGCGTCCGACTGTTAATCGGGAGGTTGGAAGTTCAAGCCTTCCCGGGGACGTTTGTTTTTTTGACAAATTTATTTCTTTCATTTGCAAGGAAGCATTTTTTTGCTTCTGTCTTGCATTTTTTTGGGGGGGTTTTTTTTTTGGAAGTTGTCTAATGGTAGGGTGAGGTTGGTTTAAACTCAGTCGTCGAACTTTATTTGTTCGTACTACATCAGTCGTATCCATGGATGTACAGAGCCTTTCTTTATCGGGTACTGCATCAAAGGTTTCATTTTGGTCGAGATTAAAATGAGTTGTTTTCTATGTCTCGGCTATGTCTAAGAAGTAAGAAGGAATACTCCTTGATGCTGGCGAGATCTATAAAATATCGAAGACAGAAACACCGATTTTAACTGCTACGTGATCCATTGCTGTGTCATGGTATTGTGATACCAGATAATCTCGCTTCATAGACTGAATAAACCAGTTCGGTGTTACTCTACTCATTGTCTGGTACAAGAAGATCTTGGTGGGCTCCGATTATTCGGAGGCACCGGTAACTGGAGATGGCGAGGCTTGGTTAGTGTTAGTATGTGGATGCGAGAACAAGCACTTGGGTGATTCATGGTGTTGCCACTGCACTTTTAGTATATTACTTGGGGCATGTATATATAAGACTTGGTTTCTCGGAGGGAACAATGGATATCTATAATGCGGGCTCGTGAGTTGCTCTGATTTGGATAAGTCTGTTGGATTGTGTAGTTTACGTCGTGGTGCTCATACGCAAACCAACCCACCGGGTATCTAATTTGAGTCCTTGAATTTGTTGTATATGAAAGAATCTCCCATATATGAAGGCGGATTTGATGAGCACTCGAGCAGGTGCCACTGGGTTTAAGATTCGCGGGGGGCGAGTTACTCTTGCTCTCTTAGAACGAAAGGCGAAGGCTCCAAAGTACCCTAGTGGCTTAATACGGCCGGCCCCTTGTGGCTCGTCAGCTCCTATTGCTGTCTATATATCTCATTTTGGCTTGGTACTGACAAGATTACTGGTATGGTATATGTGACACCGAGATGCGTGAGCTATACCTGGTGGGTGTTTGGTTGGTTGTATAGTTCGGGACTATCAGTGGCTCTTTCCTGTGGTATGATGGGGATCTGTCATCTCTCTAATTATGATGTCTGTTGGCCTTTTTTCGCCCTGTGGGCTGTGTTCGTGTGGCAACTAGTAGCTATAGCGAATATAAGTTTGAAACATCGTCGGGCACAGTAGCGCGGTGACATATATATCTTCACCAAGATAATGACATTTTAAACCATCATTTTTCCTCTTTATTTTGGTGTTTCCGCCTGGAAATAAGGGGGGATATATTTCATGAGATCTTCAAATTATTTTATCATTATTAGACAAAGGAATCTGGAGTGCATGATAATATGCTGTGATATCAGGGCTGTTTGCTAAGGAGGACAGGGTGAAGTACGTAATTTTGGTTTATAATTTATAAGTTCCCTTGGTCTTTCATCAAACAAGTCTCCGTGGCGCAATTGGTTAGCGCGTCCGACTGTTAATCGGGAGGTTGGAAGTTCAAGCCTTCCCGGGGACGTTTGTTTTTGTTTTTGTTTTTTTCCCCATCCCGTTCCTTCCCTTATATTAATTAACCAACTAGAGGAAACGATGGTGGCCGTAATAATCATTGATATTTTCTTTTTTTTTGGGTTATATGGTATAACTCTACATATTAAACGTCTATCTACTTGCAACTGCAAGAAAACAAACCAGAAAGCAAGGTGCCACGATGAATATGGAAACAGAGAAAACCAGGTTCTTAGGAGAGGAAAAACAAGGTAGGGCTGAATCCCACGCTGACCAAAAGTACTAGAAGAAAGGTTGGAATGGACGAAGCATGGAAAGCAGCAGTGGAGACTTAAGTAGAGAAAAGAAACTGCCATTTGACAGGTATACAAGTTAGACACAAACAACACAAAGCCGTAAAGAATTGATACATAGGCAAGAAGAAAGGATTTAAAAACAAGTATAGAACTCAAATACACAGGGCCAAGCAGATGCAAGCGAACAAGGATCACACATTCCTTTGAACAACCACGAGACGATCAGACATATCGGTTAAGGTACAAGAACTAGACTGTCCACAGCGATTCACCCTCTATTGACCATGTATGAGAAATGAGATAAGAAACATACACATGCTCATAATCCTGTAACACTCTGTCCAAAAGGGTAGAATAAACGCCGAGCGTAAGGACCCAACGCCGGTAAAGAAATACCAAGAAAACAACAAGAAGAAGAATAAGCGAACAAAGAAACAGGCACCTCGACTAAGTACAACTCAACAAAGGGTATAGGAAGGTAGGCCCAGATTAACATTAACCGAACATCCTTCACCATGGGATGCAGTGAAGAATGCAGTGGAACACTGGAACAGGAGAGAATATTTCAGGTATGAAAGCATGTGGCGAAAGTGGAAAATAAAACAAGCACGCCTCAGATGATAGTGTAAAAGCTGGGAAAAAAAGAACTCCAATCTAGATAACGCCGGCCGCCGTGAGCTAGTATGACCACCCACCTCCCAAGGGGCTGCCAGACTGGCCCGGTTGAGGTTGTCCGGGTTGCATCGGGCCACCAGGTCCAGCAGGCCCAGCAGGCCACCCAGGCATACCATTGCCTGCCATGTTCATTGCAAGACCCGCCTGTTGAGGGTTTCCGCCCATGAAGGGTTGGCCACCATGAGCCTGGTTGGGTGGATACATGGGTCGTGCCATTCCCGGATAACCGGCCGCCGGGTTGGCTCCCGGATATCCCATGCCCTGCATACCCTGAGGTTGCGCCGCTTGGGGGTGTTGCATTTGGGAATATTGCTGAGGCATCTGAGGTATCGACTGTCGCTGTTGGTTGCGAGGAGACTGGTGGTGATGTTGCTGCTGCGGATGATGCCCGAGGGGAGATGGGCTTTGTTGCGGAGCTGCAGACATTTGTTGACCATATTGAGGCATTCCAACGCCCTGGTGGCCTGATGATGGCAACGGGGACGGCTGTGGCTGCGGGGGTGGCTGTCCCCAAATCTGCTGCTGTTGCGGTGAATATCCGTATGGAGGGGCCTGACCCATACCGCCACCCATGGATGGATTGGACCGCTGTTGCATAAGATTGGGCTGCATGTTTGGTGGGATTCTCAGAGGAGACTGTCCAACGGACTGTGGGTGAGGCTGTTGGGGGTAGTTTGGTTGTCCACCCATCATTGGATTAGGCTGCATGGGAACCTGCTGAGGGAGCATATGCTGTGTATGAGCGGGATTTGGCATCCCCGCCGAGGGAATCTGTGATACCTGAACAGGTTGTGACACAGACAAACCAGACTCAAGAGCAGTATTAGACTGAGTCTCTGAAACTGGGGCCTCGCGGGGCTTGGAGTAAAATTCATCCAAGCCTTTCTGGCGGAAATTGCGCTGAATGCTCAACATTTTGTTGAAATCAGTCGTGTGCTGGGCTTGATTCATCAGGTCTGCTGCTGAGCTAGTTTGCGTGCGGTCGTGGTAAGGTTGCCCGGTCAATTCCTGGCGTGCACGAGGCATGACATTGTAATCCCGCAGCCGCGGGTCATCTGTCGTCGACATATGAATCATGGGGAGTGGAGCGATGGACATAGAAGATTCAGAAGTATCCAGCGAGAGCCCGTGAGGCAATGGCTCGATGGCACTACTGTAGACAACATCATTATGAGGCAGCGCCGGCAACAGGTTTGTGGCTGGCTCTGAGACGGAACCGTCCCGAGCCTTAGCCGCACCAGGGCGCTTCTCACCCGCGAGGTCATCCTCGGTGAAGCCCTGCTTCCTAGCCTTGGTCTCCCAGTAGTCATCTCGAACCCGACGGCCATTCACAATCACCCGGCTCCCGAACTGTCGGAACATGGATCTGGCGGAGACAATAGCGATTTGACGGGATCGATAGGAATATGGCAAGATATCTTGCTGGATAAGATCGTCTTTCTCGATTTGGGAAGCAATGATTTTATGCAACGATCGGTTCTTGTTGAACAAAAGATATGAATCACGATAATTCAATACCCTCGCACACTCAGTCGCAAGCATGAATAGCTTGGTGCCCCGGAGGGGTACGCGGAATGTCCGGCATTTATACTCGCGGCCACCCTGCGGATATCCCATAGGATCTGCCTTGGTCTCTCCTGCTTCATCAAACTCTTTAGGGATGTACTCATCGCCTTCTTCATTCAGCTGGTCTGAT